TAGATGCACTGATATATTTATTTATTGTCGTCTGAATCGTCAAAAAATAAATCAGTGAATCTATACAGTTGAAACTTGTTTTATTTAGTGTACGGTGTGCGTGAAAACTTTATAAATGCAGCTTTAGAATGGCTAGAAGAATTTCGACGCGGCCATCAGGGCCGCGGTAGCATAATTGGTCAGTGCATTAGCCTGGATTGCGAAGGGTGCGGTCGAGTCCCGACTGCTGCCTGGTCCGCGTGGAATTTTTTCTAGTTATATTTTCTTTAGATTTAAACAACAAGCAGTTACATGCTTAAAAATAAAAAAATATAACTTTGTAAATGTTCCTAACGTTATGAGTACCTCTATTTGTGTATCTGAAAAATCATAAGAAAATAAAAAAAAAATGGGTGCGTGGCATCGTTTAAAATTAGTTTTTAATTGCATGCAAATAATTAAATATAATAAATTAATAAAAAGTCTGGAAAAGGACACAGTCAATAAAGTTCAGTTTTAATTTGAAAAAATAAATAAATAATCAAAATATTCAATTAAAATCGCTACTGAATATAATTTATTAGAACATATGTGATTTGCACTTGTATGAAACTCAGACACGTATTCCGAATATACAAACTAGAAACACGTGGATAAATATTATAAATATGAATACCTATAACTGTTACTTTATTACAAAAAATAAAGATGTGGTTTTTGGTTCTACTACACCAATGGTCAAGAGATGGCGCTGTAGTCTCCTGAATCGCGCTTTGGTTCCGTTGTTCCAGATTAATAAATACTTTTGATAGGCCTTCACAATGCAGTCGTTAGCACCCACTAAATAGAGATTCTATTTCTATTTTGTTAAAATATATTTCTGTTAAAATTTTGTGTTACAGTGATGCGCGCGCATCTTAAAATTTCACTCTCATCATTTTTTCATAACGCGCCTAAAGAAGTATAACTTCAAAAAATTACCGTTAGTAGTTAAAACTGAGCTCAGGTAATATAAGTTATACACGAATTCGCATTGAGCCTGCGGGATAACTTATAATTAGATTTTTTCAAGTTAAGAGTTTTTAAACGTGCCTTTAGAAGTTTTCGATACCAGAGTATGACTAGTAGTACAACCTCAATCCCTTTTCATCGAAAGAAACACAAAATTACCAAAAGTAATGTTATTTCCACGGTGTTCCAAGAAAGTAGAAAAAAATGAGTTATGCACTTCCTTGTACTTCGAATACCGGAGGCCCAAGCATGAGCCTTCATCATCAGCCTATTAATGACCCCACTGCTGGAGCACAGACCTTCCCTATGGATGGAATAGGGAGAGTGGGTCATGACCTACCACGCGGGCCCAGTGCGGATTGGCGGGTGCTAAAGACTACAGATGCTGCCGGGACCAACGGTTTTACGTGCCTTCCGAAGCACGGAGGAACGCGAGATAGAAAATTTTTGGTCACCCATCCAATGACCGGCCACTGCGAAAGTTGCTTAACTTCAACGATCGCAGCGCAACGCGCTCTAGCTACCTGCGCTATCGAGCACCTGGATGAACATTGTCAGCTCCGTAATCGCGTCGTCATCGTCAAATTCTGTATAGAAGGAGCGACTTTGTTTGCCAAATAGGGAGAAAAAACAGCCCTTGCTGAGTTTCTTGCCGGTTCTTCTCCGGTTCGGAGTACAAGGTCTCCCGCCGTAGATTTACGAACCGATGGCGTAGCTTCTAGACCAGTGTTTCCTAACCTTACCAATACTGCTACCCCTGTAATCTATTAGGGAAACAGATTTTACCCCGACTTTAAAATGTTATCATCAGTCCAAGAAATTCCCCTACATCTTCGTCTCTAATAATGTCATCATCAGGATTAATCTCGCCCTGCTTCCCACACTCAGCACCCCGCGGGCTCGCTAGCAAGAAGGAGCGCATGCTCTATTTAGTAGTATTATTATGTAGTACTAGTGGCCCGCCCTCGCTTCGCTTCGGTGTAGAGCTGTAGTTTAAACTGTAGTTTTTGTTCTCAGGCTTGTGCTATATACAATGACTTTATTTATATAATTTCACGTGTTATTGTGACTCAACCATAAAAGATAGACATATGCTGTTGCGGGATATTTTTTAGACAATTTTATGTAGAATATTTCCGTCATACATGATTTCTATGTAACTTTAACCATTAAGGCTGCACACGCGACGGAAGCTTAAAAAATGGAGTAACTTCTCCCGTTTTCCCAACATTTCTACTCTACTACTCTGCTCCTATTGATTGTAACGTGATGAAAAGTATACTATAACCTGCCCAGGAGTATGAAGAATAATTGTACCAAGTTTTGTTAAAATCCGTCGAGTAGTTTTTGTTTCTATAAGGAACATACACACAGACAGACAGACAGACAGACAAAAATTTTACTGATTGAATTTTTGGCATCAGTATCGATCACTAATCACCCCCTGCTAGTTATTTTCAAAATATATTTCATGTACAGAATTAACCTCTCTACAGATTTATTATAAGTATAGATTTTCTTATTATTTAGATTTGATCAAAAAATAGGTTCTTTGTTACCCCCGAAGTATGGCTGATTTACTCCCGGAGGTGTAATTACCCCCAAGTTCAGAACCCAGGTTCTAGACATTCATGAGTGCTTGTAACAGCTTAAACTGAATAAATGATTTTGATTATGATTATGTTCTGACGTCCGGTAGGAGCGCTTCTTAATTTTCATAGAAACTTTAAATAGTCAATGTAAGGCGTACGAGTTTAGACATTAATTAGACACTGTTAATTAATTTATCTAAATCAACGACAATATCAAAAAATAGGGGGTAACCTTAAGAATATGCGATTGATACATCATTAAAATCTTTTTGATAGGTGGATAGGTGCTAATGTCTCTAAAAAAAAATTTTTTTTATTTTTATATTTATAATTTATTTTATGTTGTAATAGATATACAGAGCGTCCCACGGGTTTGACAATTATGCGAAAGTATATTAAATATTGAAGATATGATATTTTAATTGAAAGAAAGCATCATTTTATTTTTAATAATAACTAGAACTGCGTTCACAGATTTCTAAAAAAATCGACTGTTACATCTGGGAACCAAACTTGTGAAATTTGTTATTTTCATTGCATGATCTTCCTTTGTAACCTATGTTATTTAGGAAAAGATCATTATGATTAATTCAATTCAATTCAATTAATTGTGGTTACATAGATGGTTACAAAATGCTTATAGTACCTAATATGAACCCTGTCAGGGTATCGCAATATACAGTCTTAAAGATAAAAAATACAAAAGAATTTAATTAATAAACAATTATGTATATGAAGAACCTAATTTTTATTAAACCACTTTATATCTCAAATCATGCTTATATGTCATCTGATTTCATTAGTTTAACAATATAACTTAATCAATTGATCTTATTTAGAGTAGAAATATAATAGAAATGGAAATTAATTTATAAAATTAAATTAAAGTCAGTTTCAGTTTTCAGTTCAGCCAGATTAATTTACCCTTTCGATGGTTATCATAAAATACATGTGGTTTTTTGTTTCACGTTTCAGAATTTGATACCCGGTTTTGGCAGGCGATTGGTTTAAAACTGCGTATGCAGTTCTACTTATCATTTAAAATAAATGATGCCTTCTTTCAGTATCTTCAATATTTAATATACTTTCTCTCCGTGTGACAAAACCGTGGGACGCCCTGTATAGTTTGAATGATAATAACTAGGCTTGCAACGAATAGTATATTCGGCAGTTTACCGAATATTCGGCGAGGCCCCTGACCGAATAGCCGAATATTAAGCAAAAGTATTCGGCTGTATTTTAGCGCCAAAAACTTGTACAGACGTGATTGTTTCGCGCTCCTTTGTTTGCAGTGCAATTCAGTCAAATGCAGTTTCAACAGAAATGGATCTTTTCTTAAATAGTAGTAATATATCCACGAGAACCCGTATACATGGTGGCAGCAAGGAAATTTGATTTTCCGTGTTTGTTTAAGACTGCAGCATAATAATTGTCGGCGCCAGTAAGTAGTGTTTATTCAGAGCGCCTTTTCTCTGAAGCTGGGGTGGTCTACGAGAAAAAATGGAGTAAACTACTTCCTAAAAATGCAGAAAAGTTAGTCTTTCTGCACCATAACCTTTCCCTTCTAAATTTTGATTATGAAAATAATTCAAATGCATAGATTTTTTTTTAACTTGTTTAATACAGAAAATGATTAAATTATGCATCTGTTTTACGTGCCAATGACTACTTAATAAATGATTACAAAAGAAATGAGAACCTTACCCTTTTAAATTTTGATTACCACAATAATTCAAATAAATAGAATCCTCCATTTTTCCAATTCAGAATATGATTATGTACCTGTGTTATGTACCAATGACTACTTAAATGATTATTATATATAACAGAAATGAAAATGTGAATATATACGTAATCAATCGATTTTAATTTTTCATTTTACCAATTATTTCTCTATGACAAAATATATTATTTAAGTATTCGGTATTCGGCCGAATATAATAAAAGCAGCCGAATAGGCCGAATAGTAACCGAATATTCGTTGCAAGTCTAATAATCACTAATTCCTATGACAGAAATAGTTTAGAATAAGTAATATTGATGATGAATAGGCATTTTCATAATGATTTATGCTAAAGGCAAAATAAAAATATCCAACGAATCAAAAAAGCATGTACGGTAAGGTAAATATGTTAGTATAAACTACCACAATCTACTATTTAAATTTGTATCTAAATACTTCTAAACTACGGTACCCCTAGCACGAACCAATATCGAATTCGTATCGTTGGCGAGTACGAAATGTCATTGTCAAATTTTGTATGGTAACTTGGGCAGCAGCGCCACAAAGTACGTAACGAGAACTTAAAATCAGTACACATTTGTTAATGACATTTCGGACTCGCAAACTATTCGAATTCGATATTGGTTTGCGCTAAGGGTACATTTCACAAAGCGGATGTTTAAGTAAACACTGACGGGACAATCTCATCTCTTTTGTTCTTTCACAGCTGTCGTCAAGTTCGTACACAATCTTGCATTGTTTGAAGTTCTTCTTTCAAAACTTTCGGCTCAATAATTTTAATGTTTTTCGACTCACAAAAAATGAAATGAAACGGGACGGGACCGAAAACTTTTTGTTCTATTTTAATTACTACACTTCGGAGCCTCTTTTATGATTATGTGAATTTGAAAAGTTTTTTGGAGTAATTCTTTCTTCCGAAGTTAATTAATTCTTGGTTATAAATGACAATGTTCTTTGTTTTTTATTAAGAAGGTTGGTACGGGCCGTGTCGGCCGCTGCTACGCGCGCACTGTGCCTCCGTTCGGTCTCCACAATTAGGCAACACGCGATATTTGATCGGGCACGTAACGAAATTCATTTTAAACTGCAGCCCAGCCTTACTATCGACCTGGTTAGTTAATGAAACCTCTGTTTACGACGACCTCCAGTGATTTAAGGCACGATGACTGGATAGCATTTACGTAGCGTCAACAGATAGGATGAGTATACTGATTTTCTTTTGTTTGTTTGTTTGAAGAATGATCAATTCCTTTCATCCCTCCTATCATCCTTCATATATACACACATCAAAAGTGTCTAGGGATCAAGCATTTTTATGCGGATTTCTTGAGATTGAGATGTGGCTTTGTAATAAATTTATGATTTTATAAATTTATATGGATCCTTTTTGGTGCATTTCATAATTTGAATCAGGAACTGTGAATCAAATTCGAGTAAAAGATGAAAATCAGCTGTCAATATTTTCCCTATAAAAACATACAACGCATTGAAGACATTATTAGTGCTACTGTTTCCCTACTACTGATTAAAACCAACTTTATTATGGAGCGGCGACGTCATTTAAGCAGGGAAGAAATGCTCAGAGCCGTGGGAATGATAGAAGCTGGTTCCCGGCAACGTACTGTGGCTTTAGCTCTGAATACAAGTCAGAGTGTTATCAGTCGACTTTGGACACGATACCGAAGCACTGGTACCGTGGCTGAGCGCCATGGAGGACGGTATCGCTGCACCACACGGAGACAAGACCGATACATTCAAATCTTAACTCGAAGAGCTCCAACAATAACCGCCATGATGTTAGCCGTGAGGCTTCATCACTCTTCAGGGAACTTAATTAGCGACCAAACAGTCAGAAACCGCTTGCATGAAGTGAACCTTCATTCCCGAAGACCGCTACGGGTACCACCTATAGCAATGCACAATCGTAGGATTCGATATCAATGGGCTCTTGAACACAGAAATTGGGCAGAAGAACAATGGCGTTTCGTGTGCTTTTCTGATGAGTCTCGTTTTGGTATGAGACCGGATACAAGACGTATACGACACTGGAGAACCCCTGGACGCCAACAGCGATTAAAATCCTGCCAGGAAGTCCATCCTTATAGTGGTGGAACCATCATGGTATGGGCGGGTATTTGGATCGGCGGAAGAACTGAGTTGATTTGGATCAGAGGCAACCTCAACGCTCAAATTTATGCTGAGACGATTGTATCAGACGTCATCGTTCCTCTACAAGTGCAAATCGGTCCCTTATTTCAGTTAATGCATGATAATGCACGACCGCACACCGCAAGAGTTGTAAGACAGACTCTCGCCGCAGCTAACATCAATGTCCTGCCCTGGCCTGCTCAGTCGCCAGACTTGAACCCGATTGAGCATGCATGGGATATGCTACAGAGAAGAGCTCTGCCGAATATGGAGGGTATCCAGTCGCAAGAAGACCTTTTTTTGTTGTTGCAACGAACATGGGCGGCCATTCCACAGCGTGATTTGGATGAACTCATTTTGAGTATGCCAAACCGATGTTCTTGTGTTGTTAGTGTTCGCGGTAGAAATACGGATTATTAATTGTTTAAGTTACCCAATAAAATTTTAGAGAAAACTGTTATTTCAGTCTTTTTTTCGAACTTTTGTGTTAGTGGTTCAAATGTCAAAAATCCCTTTATTAGGAAAATGGCAAATTTCTTTATTAATGCAAAGGTGACTTGGTTTATCGTTACTGTGACAAACGAAAACACTTTATTTGATGAATCCTTAAAGAAAATTTTAACTAATATCAATCAGGAGAAAAGTTATTGCAAAAATATATGTTGATCCCTAGACACTTTTGATGTGTGTATGTACTAGCGGCCCGCCCTCGCTTCGCTTCGGTGTAGAGCTGAAGTGTAGACTACAGTTTTTGTTCTCAGGCTTGTATTATACACAATGACATTCATCTATGATTCTTCTTATACATGCGTGCAAAGTCTCAGCCCGATCGGTTTAAAATTGACAAAGTTTCATACAAATTTTCATTTCCTATTTTATCCCCTTGGGGGTAGAATTGATCAAAATCCTTTTTTAGCGGATTCCTACGTCTTAACATCTACCTGCATGCCAAATTTCAGCCCGATCCGTCCAGTGGTTTGGGCTGTGCGTTGATAGATCACTATGTTAGTCAGTCACCTTTGTGTTTTATATATATAGATATATACATATTTTGTCGCGTGTGGCGCTCGTGACGCGTTTTAGCGTATCAGCCTTTGCCGAGTTACCCTCCAATATTCATGCTCGTCGGGAAGAGGCACGCATCCCACACACACACACACACACACATATACATATATATAAAGTCGCGTGACGCTCCTGATGAATTTCCGTTTCATCTTTTCTATAGGATGTTACAAAAATACAAATAAAGCTTGAAGGGCGTTGAAGTTATTTTTAATGATTTATAAAAATATTGATCATTTTAAGACACGTCACTAGTTCGAGGATCATTAAAAATAACTGTTTTTATAAAAAGTTAAACTTCATGCAAATATTTTAAGAAAATTAGAGAAGACTCCTTATATGATGTACTTCAACGCCCTTCACACTTTATTTGTATTTTTGTAACATCCTGTATATATTTATTTTTTAAAGTAGTTTAATTATTTATTTCTTATGTTTTCACGCACACTTCTCAATAATTTTAACACTGTTTCAACGGGTTTAAAATCCGTTTTTCAATAGTTTTATACATATCTCTACAAAATCTTGTTTGTCCCAGTTACAGTTATGAGATTTAATTTAAAATCTACTCAATGTAATGTTTCATTACGTTGCGGAAACTGGTTTGACTAAACAATAAATAAACCATATATTTTGTATCAATATGCATTATAAAAAGGCTGTAAGTACGATATCCTTAAATAAAAAAAAATCTCTTCGTATCGATTCTTCAACCGGCTCCGTTAGCATTTAAAATTCATCTCATAAAATTCCACAAGGTTTTTTTACATGTTGAAATTGTCTATATATCTAAGTCAAAGGTGACTGATTGACTGACATAGTGATCTATCAACGCACAGCCCAAACCACTGGACGGGCTGAAATTTGGCATGCAGGTAGATGTTATGACGTAGGCATCCGCTAAGAAAGGATTTTGAGCAATTCTAGCCCCAAGGGGATAAAATAGGGAATGAAAGTTTGTATGAAACTCTGTCAATTTTAAACCGATCGGGCTGAGACTTTGCATGCAGGTATAAGAAGAATCATAGATGAATGTCATTGTGTATAATATAAGCCTGAGAACAAAAAACTGTAGTCTACACTTCAGCTCTACACCGAAGCGAAGCGAGGGCGGGCCGCTAGTATAAGTATAAAATTTAACTGTTAATTAGTAGTTAAAGTATTCGAACTGGAGTTAGTTATCGTAATGTTTGGCATACTTCAGACGGGGCGTTTTGTGAACCTCATTTGCCTTTCATAGCATAATGATTGTCGATGTAACATTTCGCGTGATCCCATGCCATTGTGAATGTTAAGTTGTAATTTTAAACGTTTTATTATACTGCATTATTGTCTATACATAGGTATATAAAGTCCAAAAGTAAACTTACGATGCCGGAGAATAATAGGAACTATGATTTTATTAATTTTTTAAGCATTTAACTGCTAGATGTTTAAATCTAAAGAAAAGTTTACTAGAAAAAAAAATATATATATAAAAATATAAATATATAATGGTCAGTGCATTCGCCCGGATAGCGAAGGATGCGGGTTCGAGTCCCGTCCGCTGCCTGGTCCGCGTGGATTTTTTTCTAGTAAACTTTTCTTTAGATTTAAATATCTAGCAGTTAAATGCTTAAAAAAATAAATAAAATCATAACTATAATTGCTATTTCTTCTTTCAAATGTTTAATACTTGAAAAAGTATTCATTTGACATTGTGGGTTACCTACAATGCGAAGAGATGGCGCTGCCTTGCAGCTTAAGGCTAGGAAAATTTCGACGCGGCTAATAGGGCCGTGGTAGCATAATAGGAACTACTTTGACGACCTCCGTGACCGAGTGGTTTATACGGGTTTCTCTCGAGAGGTACCGGGTTCGAATCCCGGTGGGGGCAGATGTTTGTGTGATGAATACAGTCATGGATGTTTAATATGTATTTATATATAACATTTTTGACGACCTCCGTGGCCAAGTGGTTTGTACGCAGGGTTTCATGGTGTCGCCGACTCGAGAGGTCCCGGGTTCGAATCCCGGTGAGGGCAGATGATTGTATGATGAATACTAGCATTTGTACTCTAGTCATGGATGTTTAATATATATTACTATATAAATATACACAGTCAGGTCATAAGTATTGTCACACAGTAAAAACTTTTCTTTTAGAATGCTGGCCACAGAAAAGTTTATTGAATTCGAATTTCGAATTGTTTATGAAAATAAAAATGTAAGCTTTTTAGAATTTACTCATTTTTAAACATGGAGTGGACGCTTAAAGAAGACCGTGTTGCAGTTTGCGTTGCATCGTTGCGGTTACGCGCCAATTCAAATTTTTGACATACTGAAAATTTTGAATATTACCAAAAGATTCGTTTATCGTACCATCAAACGATACAATGAAGACTCTAGTGTAGATGACAGGTCAAGAAGTGGTCGCCCTCGGTCTGTTAGGACTCCAGCAGTGATAAAAGCTGTGAAGGTGCGAATTCAAAGAAATCCCAAACGTAAGCAGAAACTGCTGGCCCTTCAGATGGGGTTAAGCAGAACCAGGTTGCCAGGCATAAACAGCTATTGCGCGGCCATTCGGAGACGGGTTCCGCAACCACACCCGCCCTCTTGGTACGCACTAGGGGGACCGCGGTCCTCATAGTGCGTGTCGGGTGACGGTGCAGGAGTATTGTCTGGTTTTTAGTGGCCCTGTTCAGGGCATAGGTAGGGCCCTGTTCACATCAGCGAGCTCCAGGGCTGGCTGAAGAGGACAGGGAGGAGTCCCACATACATTCTTCTCGCTCCCCCAGTGGTTGAAGGATGCGTAAGGCATTAACCAGAAACAA